CAAAGCTCACGGTTGCTGGAATGAGACTGAAGACAAGCTTAGAAGTGTAACTGGGGAGAGTGCACTACGTGGTTAATTCGTCTTGTCCAACGGGTTCCAAGACGACGGCAAAGGATCACTTACAAGAACGAGCTTTAGATAGCATTCTCATTTTAAAGACACGACTTATCAGGCTAAATTCAGCTAATTCTTGCCATTGAACATTAACCAACCAGATCACATTAGACACTACCGCGAGTCCCGCCCAAACAGCCACGCCCTTATTCCAGCGCGGCCATGATTTTTCAAGTTACTTCTGTAACTTTTGATTACGTGATTTTTTTTCCACGTTTGCCATTTCACATACACAAACTAACTGAAAAAGGTTGACACCGAACTTCGACCGGAATCTGGAGAAAGAAGTTTTAGCTGCATTCCTTTCACAATTGCTCCTAAGGTCGCTTTTTCATATCCACTTTTCACACAACGACGGCACTCATGGAGGCGCATTCACGCATTGACACGCTAAGTCACTCTCCCTCCCTTAACCACGCCTATTTTGCGTTTTTCTGCATAATTTCAGGTATTATTCGAAACTTTGGCGAGTTGGGCTGCTACGGGAAGCTCGCCTGCAATGAGAAGCTCCGCCCACTTCGAAGAGACCCCGCCCAACCTCATGAAATGTCTACAACTAGCAGGTCCGAGTCTCAACTAGTAGGTTAGGGTCTCGCTCGCCACTTGGAACGAACACTGCATGTTTTCAAGTTATATACCACATATGTACAACCTGCGCAACATTCATGGTTTTATCCTCATTTTAATAGAAAAGTATCAGATGAAACTCGACCTTAAATACTAGAAAATTAGCCTAACTTTACGACCTTACGAATTTCTTCAAGATGACAACGGCAGTATTGCGCGATTTCTTGCAGACAGAGTCAGACTTCTCACGATTTTTGTCGAAGAAGGAAAACAACCGCAGTCAAAGATATTCCTTCGCCCAACTTCGCTCGTCAAAGAAAAAACAATCGTCGTCGTCTACCCAGGTGTTCCCTCACCCCACTTCCCTAACGAAAGAGTACCTCCAATGATCCTACGTAGATGTCCCCTCCTGCCATTCACATAAAACTGCGACCTTTGCGCCCACCAACCAAGGAAATGCTCCGAATATTGAACTCGCCTCGAGACGAGCCTCGATGACCATAGGTGGCTTCGCGAGTTTCAAGCAAAATGCGGCTGCTGCCTCATCGTTGGCAGAATAGGCTGTACACTACATCGCATTTTGAATCTCGTTTCCAAACTGGAATAGAGCTAGAAGGAGAGGCAGGGAAATTAACCCTAAAACAGTGAGTTACCTATCGCTTGCATGCAGCTCCTTATCATTACCTTCACCTCACAGTGAGATATTTAGCACGGTGGGGGTGGCACTACTTACTACCTATTTTATCTCTGTTGGGTGTTATTTCATCTGTTTGGCACTTATGTTACACTCTGGGATTGGCAGAACCCGTTTTCATGCAAAGAGGACATATTTCATGAGTCTGGTCAGAGAGATGACATTAGTGATTACCTACTAGAACATTTTTACCCAATCTCAAATTGAGTCACACAAAGCTTGAAATGGCCTACCTTATCGACGTAGAAGTCAATGTCCGTATTCGGTTCATCATCGTCATTTGAAGACGCCAGTGTATCCTTTCCGAGTTCATTGACTACCATCTAATGCAACACAATTTTAAAGGAAACAGTCTGTCAAATGCTTTCACAAAAAACCTACCTTATACGTCAATAACTTTCCTAAGAACGAGTCGTAGTTCTTATCGTCGACATCCATGAACGATGCCAGTTTCTTCGTCGGCAAAGATGTGTACAACTTTAGGTATCCACGCAAAACAGGGAGCGCCATCTGCGCTTCAACGCCTTCAAGGAACGCTTGCGACTGACGTAGAAGCGGCTCCTAAGCATAGGACTATGTTGCTAAACAGTGCACACTTTTTTCAAGTCTCACCTTGGAGAGATTTGAGCCTTCATAGACGACGGTAGTTGGCGAAAGGAATTTCGGACATCTGCAAAGGAACTCGATCATGGAAAGCAAAATGAATAACCGAAGTAAACAGTAAACTTGTTGGGGTGCTCATGAAATTCGGACGCAATAACGTCTCTGCCTGTGCCTGGACTATGTACGTTTCCCTCCACAAGGTGCAGCCCTAGCACACAGCAGGCGACCAGAGCATTGAGCATTGGGCCTAAGCGCTTAGAGTGGACATACCCAGCCGTGGCGTGGCCCTACCGAGCTACGATTGTCATTCGTTTTTTCCCCTTTCACAAAGATATAAAAACTGAACCAATGAAGAAATGAAACAAATTGAACACTTACCCCATCTGGAACGCAAGACGGAACTCGTCCAAATCTCCATTGCCCATGCGAGACATGCGGTCACCACATCGTTCTGCGAGTTGAGATGCTATTGACTCATCGATACGCTGAGGTTGAATGGCCAAGCAAATGGCGAGCAAATGGAAAAGCTGATCGTAGGTTTTTCCAATCTAAAAGCTTTTGAATATAATAGACATCATTCGAACCACATTCATTCACTACTCATAATGATGGGTCCCTTTGGAAACCCACTCTTTCCGAATGGGAAAGGCCGATCCCCTCCGCAGAACCGAAAGCATTAACGAAAAACTTAATTTTGTATTTGTTATTATTTTTTAAGGGTCTGGTGGTCAGTCGATGAAGAGACGCATAGAGAGAAAAACTTACACGCACTATCACCCCATATATATAATTCGCTTTGTCTGTTTGTTTGTTTGTTTGTTTGTAAGTTTGTAAGTTTGTCTGTCCGGAAATTCGGTTCGACCTGAAGAACGACTTGGAGAGGTCGGGTCAAGGTGGGGATGGGTAGGGCATGGGACAAGAAATAAAAAGCACACTTGACCTATGGGAAGCCCGCCCACAGTGGGCGGGGCACTCCCCGAAAGTTTGGGGTTCCGCACAAAAATGTTCATAATTCGCTTCCGGAGCAGCCTAAAGATGGGGGAAAAAGGGAATAAGGTTAGTAAGGAGTCGCCAGACTAACTGTGGCAGGTACACCCTAAATGGGCGGGGCGTACTCAAGGTGGGCGGTGCTTCTCGCAAAATTCAGTAACCCGGTTCGCGAGAGTGTTTGGAAGTCGCAAAAACTCTCAACAATTTCCAAGGGGAATCCGATATTTGACTACCTTCATCTAGCCCACTTGCGTGGTTTCTGTGTCAATACTGTTTCAGTCCTGCTCAGGCTAACC